ATAAACCCAAGGGATTAGTAGATGGAGCCGTTGACGGAGGGCGTTCTTGGAAGGGGCGGAGGGACAGCATTGCTCTCTGCTTCTTGTGCACCTGCTGGGCTCAGCCTCACATCCACGTCACAGGTACAGAAGCTCCCACGGTGTGTGGTGGGGGGAGGGCACACAGGTACACAGAAGGTGCTTCAAACATTATGACCGATAGAAACTTCTTTAACATACGGGGCATTTTATTTATTCTTTTTAAGTTTAATTAGTTTTGAGAGAGAGAGAGAGAGAGTGTGTGTGTGTGTGTGTGTGTGAGCGGGGGACAGGCAGAAAGGGAGACAGAGAGAATCCCAAGCAGCACAGAGCCCTACGTAGGGCTCGAACTCACGAACCGTGAGATCATGACCTGAGCTGAGATCAAGAGTCAGACGCTTAACCGACGGAGCCACCCTGGTGCCCCAACACACGGGGTCATTTTAAACCTGTGGACTCGCAGATGTAAAGCAGAGTACGTGACAAATACCTTGTGATATCCTTTTCCTTCATAACTCGTGTCTTTTTTTGAATGCCATCTTGCTCTGTGTATGCCTCTCTGGGTTTCAGCTTTGAAGCACGGATAAGTGAAATCGGGAAGGACAAACTTACATAAAACCCCTTTTTTTATGGCATGATCATAACAAAGAGAAGGAAGCTCCCAGAATCCCGTATCCTTTCAAGAGAACCAATCATCTGGAAATCAAGTCTTTGGCGTTTCCAGTAATCTTCCAAGCCGTCTTCCCCGTGCTACTACGAAGGGGTACGGAAGCGGTGAATGCAGAAAGGTCTGGAAGGATATGCACCAGGCTGCTGACATCAATGATTTCCAGAGGATGTAATGGAAAGGAATGATGACAAATTATTAAATTTTTCTTTACACGTCATTGAATTATCTTCATTTGTTACACGTAACACATATCACCTTTGTAATAAAAATGTCAGTAAGGAACATTGTTAAAGAAAAGCAACTACTTTGTTCATTAAAAAAAAACCCGCTGGTTTCTGGGGCACCCGGGTGGCTAGGTCGGTTAAGCATCCGACTTCAGCTCAGGTCATGATCTCATGGTTCACGAGTTCGAGCCCCGCGTCGGGCTCCGGGCCGACAGCTCAGGGCCTGGAGCTTACTTTGGATTCTTTGTCTCCCTCTCTGCTCCTCCCCCGCTCATGCTCTCTCTGTCTCTGTCTCTCTCTCAAAAATAAGTAAACATTAAAAAATGTTTAAAAACCCCACTGATTTCTGGGCGACTGGGTAGCTCAGTTGGCTAAGCGTCTAACTTGGGTCATGATGTCGCAGTTTGTGAGTTCGAACCCTGTGTCGGGCTCTGTGCTGACAACTCGGAGCCTGGAGCCTGCTTCCGATTCTGTGTCTCCCTCTCTCTGCCCCTCCCCTGCTCACACTCTGTCTCTTGCTGTCTCTCAAAAATAAACAAACAGTAAAAAAAAATTTTTTTAACAAAAAAATTAAAAATAATAAACATAAAAACCACTGATTGGGGCGCCTGCATGGCTCAGTCAGTTGAGTGCCCAACTCTTGATTTCGGCTCAGGTCATGATCTTGCGGTTCGTGAGTTCGAGCCCTGCATCAGGCTCTGCGCTGGCAGCACGGAGCCTGCTTGGGATTCTTTCTCTGCCCCTCCCCTACTAGTACACTATCTCTCTCTCTCTCAAAATGAATATTAAAATAAATTAATTAATGAATTAAAAAAACACTGATTAAGAGAGTGTTTGTATATAATGCACATGGTCTGTCACGCTAAAAAGAATTAGTAAGCTCACCAAAGACTAAATTCCAAAGTCTAATTGTTAGTTTACAGCATCAGTTTTATGAGTCAGAAGCTTTAGGGTAGCCTCTGGGGTTTTACACCACCCCCCTGACCTGAGCCCCTGAGCCCCTGAGCCCAGGGCACTGCCCCGTGATCAGATGAAGTGGTGTGGGTAATGACTTAGCACAGTGCCTGGCAATGGCCAGTGCCCGACCCCACCGCGAGGCTCTGCAGAATCAAGGTCACCTACACCTGCTAGATGGGACTGCCCACCCACCTTCCCTCCAGGGATAAATGTCACAGGAGTCACTGACAGCAGGCAGGTAAGGTCTCCTCAAAATCAACATCTCCCTCTCTCGGAGCACCTGTCCTGACATGTGACAGAGGCCACTGCCTCTAACCCTCTCCAGCAGCAAATCCTTCTACCAAGTGGGGTGCTTCCCCCAACGGACCACGCTCTAGCCTTCTAAGCTGCTAGAATCTTCAGAATTTTCAACCTTGATACCGTTGGTATTTAATGGGGCCGAGTGCTTCTCTATTGTCGGGGGTGGGGCGGGGTCCTGCACATTGTGGCACGTTTATTGGCATCCCTGGGCTCCACCCGCTAGATTCCCGAAGCCTCCAACCCGCACAGTTGTGACAAAAATATCTCCAGACACTGCCAAGTGTCCCCTGCGGGGCCAGAGTGCCCCCAGTGGAGAACCACTGTTACAGGTTCAGGTGGCCTTGGCCCTCCCGTGAGGACCTGGGACTAGGATGACAGGTTGATATCCACACCCCCCGCCCCCGCATCCCCCGCCAAAAACAAAACCAAAAACCCAGGACATGAACCTTCGAGACCTTCCCAGGAGCAGTAGTAGCCTGTGAAAGCCAAGATTTGTCTACCATTTTAGTGCAAACTTTCTCCCTTATTGGTGGCCACCAGGAGGCTCTGGGCAAGGAAAAATTGTGGCAGGTCCCTGTGGGGCTGAGAGAGGGGAAGGGGTGTTCAGCCAGCTGGTACTCGCGAATCCATTCACGGGGCATAAAAGGAGCGGGACAGACTGGCAGGTGACAGTCAGTCCCGTGGCTTTAATGCCACCCATGCACCCACGAGCTCTCAATTTGTATTTCCAACCCTCACCTGTCACGGTAGCCAGCCTCCTGCACCCCGCCGCCCCTCTGCGTCTGCGGGTATTCTGCAGGCATCTCAGACTCAACATGCCACACCTCAACTGGGTTTCCCCCCAGACCTGTCTTCCCTAGTGACCCTCATCCCAGGAACTGGCACCACCGCGCACCGGACCGCTCGAGTCATTCTTGGTTCTCTTGTTCCTCTCCCTCACCTTCCACGTCCGTCAGTCATGTCAGCTCTGCCTCCAAAACACGTCCCTATCGGCCGTGTCTCCTCTAGCTCCCCCTCTGCCGGAGCCACGGCTCTGCCTCTGACCCTCTGCGCACCGCCTCCCGAGGTGGGCGGGGCCTGCGAGGAACCGGAGGAGGGGCCTGCGCGGAACCAGGGGGCGGGGCCCGCGGGAGCCAGAGGAGGGGCCTGTGAGGGGCTGGGGGGCGGGGCCTGCGAAGGGCCGGGGGGCGGGGTCGCAGCCGGAGCTGGAGAGCGGGGCCTGCGCGGGGCCGCCCCCGCCCCGCATCCCACACTGCCCCGCGACCGGAAGAGGGGCCGCCGCTTCCGGAACCTGCGGGCAGGTTGCTCGTGGGGCCGGTGGCAGCGGAGCTGCTTTGCTCGCGATGGCCGCGGCCGTCGCTATGGAGACAGGTAAGTAGCGCTCGGGACCCTAGCAAACACAGGTGCCCCGGGCCAGACATCTCTTCCCGCTTCCCCGGGGACTCCTTTGCGGCGCAGCTCCGGCGGGGCTCCTGTCCGCGGCTCCTTCTCACCTCTGCCGTTCGGACGCCGACCCCATCGGCCTCCCGGCGAGGCCCCAGCGGCAGGACGCGCTCCTGAACCGTCCCTTCCGCCGCTGGTTTTCCGCGTCCCCGATGAGCGTGCTTAAGTGTGAGATGTCGCCCGACTGTGAGCCTTTCTGCCCCTGACATTTCTCGAACCGGCGCACGTCCCGTCGGCCCGTTTGCAGCTCGCATTCTGGACTTTCCCCGGGGTACTTAGCGGGGCTCTGAGGCGCGGTTATTACGACCTTCTCCCGCTGATCAGTCTGGAAATCTCGGGTCCTGGCTCCCGGGTGGTGGGTGTCCTGCCCCGTGGGTGCGCCTTTTGCTCTTGTCTTTAGAGGAGCGCCTCACTTGATCTCGTTGAGCAGAGCGCTCTCTGCTTACCCCGGACTAGTGGGGAAGGGCCACCTTCCCCCACGCCCAGTTCAGGAAAACCACGCCGTGCCCTTACTTTTGCAGAAATACGTTCTCAGCGGCAGTCACGTCTTTTTCTACAAGTCAGTGTTCTAGATGGTGACCTTTATTTTGGGTGACTTTTGCTGTATTCCGTCCTAGATGATGCTGGAAATCGACTTCGGTTTCAGTTGGAGTTGGAATTCGTGCAGTGTTTAGCCAACCCCAATTACCTTAATTGTAAGTTGTTGGGCGCCTGATGGAATTGAGTACCTGTTAACATCTCTGACAAGAAGAATTGTAATTCGTAATAATGTCTACTTTTATGTATGCTCAGTTCAGTGGGATCACTGCTACACTTAAACGGGTGCGCGCGCGCGCGCGTGTGTGTGTGTGTGTGTGTGTCTGAACGGACTGGGACTTATGTTCTGAATTCAGTGTGTGGTGGTGGTGGGGATTTACATACGTAGATTCTGTATGCTAGGGGTCATCGATCGGTACTTCCAGGATTGGTTTGCTCTACAGATATATTTTTTGTTTTTATGCCTTTCAGTTCTTGCCCAAAGAGGTTACTTCAAAGACAAAGCTTTTGTTAATTATCTTAAGTACTTGCTTTACTGGAAAGAACCAGAATATGCCAAGTATCTAAAGTAAGTTTAATTTTTACAGTCCTAAATATGTATGTAGTGTATTATATTCCAAGACACTGACATTTAACAGACTTTGTAGTTTCACATTGGAAAAAATGTATTTTGAACCCCTCTACGTCTTTAGTTTCTCTGCCTCATCTCTAAGTTGGGTTACTGTGCAATCTCACTGCTCATCCCTGCCTCTCTTACCCTCATCCTGTGTCCTCCCGCCTCCAAGCCAAAGGAAGCAAAATAATTTTCTACACAGAAGCCATCTTGCTCTTTCAAAAATGTTACGACAGGACACTTTGCTGCTTAGAGCCTGTCAGTGCCCTCCCATCCCATGCAGAACAGAGTCCCTTCTCTTTACCTGGGCTCAGGCTCTGTGTGCCCTAGCTCTGTCTTGTCTGACTGTACTTGTACTGCTCACCCCATCTCTCTGCGTTTCCGACCCTAACGAACCCACACTCTTTAAATGCAATGGCATAGTCGTCGGCTGAAAACTGAAGAACATAGGGCACTTATCAGCAAGATTTTCTGGAGGGGGTGACCTTATCTGATTCTTATTACGGCCACATCTCAGCTACTGTGGGTTTGTTCCAGACCGTTGCAAGAAGGTGAACCCTGCAGTAAAGCAAGCCAAATGAATTTTTCGGTTTCCCAGTGTATAAAGCTTATGTTCACACAATACTGCAGGCTATTAAGTATGCAATAGTGTTTAAAAAAAAAAAAAGGTAGATATTTTAATAAAAAAATATATTGTTAAAAAATGCTAACCATCATCTAAGCTTTTAGGAAGTCATGATCACAGATCACCATAACAAATATAATAATAATGAAAAGTTTAAAATGTGAGAATTGTTAAAATGCGACCTGGGGACATGAGGTAAGCAAATGCTGTTGGAAAAATGGTGCGGGCAGACTTGCTTGGTGAAGGGTTGCCACAAACCTTTAGTTTGTAAAAGAAAAAAAAGGCAGTATGTCTGTAGCTATTGTCTTTCTTTAGAGCCTCGTATGTGCAAGACCTGTGTTCTTTAAACCTTGAACTCAGGCCTTTTCTTTAACTAGGTAATCAGAAGGCAATAGTGAAACTTGTCTTTTTTCTTTCCCTTGTCTTTTTCTTTAAAAGAATTTTTTTTTTAATATTTGTTTTGAGAGACAGGGCGAGAGCATGAGTGGGGGAGGGGCGGAGAGAGAGAGAGAGGGAGACACAGAATCTGAAGCAGGCTCCAGGCTCTGAGCCGTCAGCCCAGAGCCTGACGCGGGGCTCGAACTCACGGACCGCGAGGTCATGACCTGAGCCGAAGTCAGATGCTTAACCGATTGAGCCACCCAGGCGCCCTTCTTGTCTTTTCCTTTTTTAAACAAACACATTTGAGAGGGAAATGACTCAAACTTGTACTTTATCCAACTCACTTTTTTGATCTGTGTCTAATAACTGGTTTTTGAAGCCCGCATCTCTCTGCCTGCAGGACCCCTTTGCTCCCTTACTGGTCCTTTTTAAACAGCCACTTATTTAATAATCACAGTGAAGACTTTATTAGGTGGTGTGTGTACATAGACTTGGAGACTCTGTGTGGACACAGGGCCACAGGCACGGGGAGTTCTATGTCCCCCCAGTGTTGGCGGGATGGCTGGCTGCGCTCTGGAGGGCTCCAGGGAGGGCCTGTTGCTCTGTTTAGGGACAGCCAGTTCCGTTGCTAGCTGCGTGACGGGAAGTGTTTCCTTTTATTGGGCTATGATACCCCCGTGTGCAGCTTCAACCCAGATCTCCAGTTTTGCCCCTGAGTCAATCCGGAACCCGTCTGTGACCCCTTGAGGCAACGGCCCTTCAGATGTTTGCATTCAAGAGAGGTTGCAGGCTAACCGCTGTGGGCGTGTGTCATCAGTCGCAGGAGGCTTTTGTTTAAGAGTTGCTGACCTTAAAGGTCGGAGAGTTTCGTATAATAATCCAGACTTGTAGTTACTCCCTAAATCTGGAGGGTCTGCTCACCGCAGGGCTTCCCCCTTCCATGTTGGGGCTGGCTCACCTGAGGGGCGGCCGCCGCGTGCAGACCCTGGCACCGCTCGTCCTGCTTCCCTGGTAGCTGGTACCCGCCCCTGCGACGTAGCCCTTACCCGTGCTTTCTCAGCCGCTGTCAGCTGTTTCTCACGCGCCCTCCCTGGGGTATTTTGCAACCGTGCCCTCCGCTGTTCTGCCAGGAACTAGACACAGGCCTTCGGGTGCAGTCAGGGTGCGGTGGACCAGCCACACTTCTTCAGGTGGACGTTACGCTCCAGTAAGTGTAACTTGAGTTCCTGTTACTTTTTCATGGGGGGGGGGGGGGCAGGGATTCACATCGCCGACTCACTGAGAGCTTTATGCCAACTCCAACTCCTCTGTTCTTGTTTTCGTCAGTGCTGTTAACTGAGTTCTCCATTTATGCCTCATTTACTTTTCCTAAATCCAAAGGGGCAACTTTCCTTTGGTACCTCTTACTTCCTCTTGTCGGTTAAGGCCAGAGTTGTAGCCTGTGAAAATACTTACTCTGAGCGTTGTCTTTACAAGTTTGAGAGATGATCACTGCGTGTCCGAGTTCCGCTTATTGACCGAATGCCACCTGAGACCACTCTCTTGGTTGTCACGGTGGTTTAGGTTACAGGTGAGGAAGCTAAAGCTGCCCGAGGTTGAGAACCTTGTCCAAGGCCAGCCAGCTGGTGAGTGGCGGGGCTGGTATTCAAACCCAGGTCTCTCCCCGTCCCGATGCCTGCATGAGAAGGAAAGAGGTTGGGTGTGAGCAAGGCATTCAGGCTCAGGCACCAACAGCTACAAGCAGCTGTGTCTGTGGAGTGCCGATAGCATACCGATGTTGTCTCGGAAGGACAGCAGTGGGGTTGCGCCCTGCTCCTCAGCGTGGTCCCCCGACCAGCAGCCCTGCTGTCACTTGGGAGCCTGTTAGAGATGCAGAACCCAGGCCCCCACCTCAGACCTGCTGAATCAGGGTCTGCGTTCAGGGAGTGATTTACGTGCACATGAAGACGTGGGAAGCACCCCGCGGTATATACGGTTTTCATCCTTCCGTCCTGTCTATACCACCTGCACAAGTCTGGCTCCGAGCTCTCTTACAGTTGAAGGTTTTTTAACGGACTCAGATCTCCTGTCTTTTCTATTTGAAATAATTTCACTTATGAAATAGCTGCAAAAATCATAAAGAGAATTCCTATATATTCTTCACCCAGATATTTTAAATGTTAACATTTTCTGTAACCACAGGACAGTGATCAAAATCTGAACATTAACATTAACATATTATCTAGTCTGCAGACTTCATTCTGATTTTGTCCGCTGTCTCATTAATGACCTGTGTCTGGGACGGTATCCAGTCTAAGTTCCTGTGCTATATTTTGTATTTATGCCTCCTTTAGTCTTTAATCTTGAGTTTCTTGGTCCTTCCCCCTGCACTCCCCCCTCTGCGCCCCCCCCCCCCAACTGTGACCCGAAAGTGATTTTCTAAACTTCTTGGTATGTATCCTGTCAGGAGTTGCAGGAAGTCAATTTGACCTGCTACTAGTGATGTTA